TGTGTGTGTGTGTGTGTGTGTGTGTGTGTGTGTGTGTGTGTGTGTGTTTGTGTTAGGATCGTCATTGGCTCAGAGGTGGGACAGTTTCAGGCCACAAAAAGCAGCTTTCTTTGCACCTTACTTCCTCCTGGTCTCTGAAAAGCTTTTTGTTTGTTCTGACTCGGTCACATTTGCACAGCGTGCTGCATCTAACCATCTCTGTGGATTTCTCACACCACAGTATGGTTCAGAGCAAAACCGGATTATTTTAACTTTGTTTTTGGCGCAAACTTTGGTATGTTTGTGACTTTTGGTGACATCACCTTCCCGTCAGTATGAGCAGGCCTGCAGATGCTTTTTAATAACACGTGAGATTTGGGAGTTTTAGGGTGGAGAGACTCTTCATCAGAAGGCTGCAGTTTCCACTGGAATGGACCTCCCTCTTCGGCCTGATTACATATTACATTTGTGTTTGTGCAAGACATGAAGGGAGAAGTGAGAAGCTGACCTCGGTGAAAGCAAATTGAGGCAAAACTTCTCCAGAGTGAGAATAAAGATTTTGCTGCTGATTTTTGTTTGAATCTTCAGAGGACATTTGTTTTTGGTCACCATGCCATCTTACACGGTGACTATTGCCACGGGGAACCAGTGGTTTGCAGGAACCGATGACTATGTCTACATCACACTGGTGGGCACGGAGCAGTGCAGCGAGAGAACGCTGCTGGACAAGCCTCTGTACAACGACTTTGAGAGAGGGGCAGTAAGTGCTGCACATGTGTTCAGGGACCGTTGTTTGTTTAACTCGTATCATTTGGGGAACAGATTAGTGGGAGCGTAATGGAGAAGTTTGAGTTTAATTCTGCTTTAAAATGACTTCGTGAGGAAATATTGTACTAGTCAACCTTTGAGAGAAAATATCAGTAATGAGGAAGGTGCTTAGCTTTTTTAACGTTGGAAAAATGACAAAAAAGAACGGCTATAAATGACAAACTTGAGATCTTTGTAATAACTAATAAATAAAAACAGACCTATTTACATAGCACTGTCCACATCAGGTGTCTCCCAATATAAAAAAAGATGAGTATTACTTTAATAATGAGGGTTTTGAACTTTTTTTTTTTTTATTGTGTAAAGCTTTGGTTTATAAATATGAAAACAAACTTGTAAAATTGTAACAAAATTTTGCCAATTTATTCATTTAGTAAAATGTGAATTTGAGTTTGATTTATTGTCCTTAAATCATGAAATACTGTAATAAATGATCAAGTCCCACTTTCTTTAAAAGAAGCAGCGCTGCACAACAGAAGAAATTAAATGTTAGTGAAAATACCCTGGAGATAAATCCAGCTTTATCTGCCAAAGATGTCAGAAAATGTGATTTAAAGCACGTTTATGAACCAAAGTGACCCTGAATAATGAGCTATGATACGTTTTGGATTGGACTGATCTTAAAACAAAGACGAAAGGTTTAACTTTTTACATTTTAGTCCTCGGCTCAGGTTTCTCTGTGTGTTGTGGTGACTGTCTGCAAATTAGTTACTGAGGGGGGTGGATTAAATTACCTGAAATATACAAGTCAGTTTCGGCTGCTCCATTCTTCAGGGGTCACCACAATGGGTGAACTCGCATGAATGATTTGGCAATTTCTTTTTATTTTTTTTTACACACCGGATGCCCTTCCTGACACAACCTGGGTTCGAACCCACAACCTCAGGATTACAAGACTGCATCACCGAGCTACCTCAGCCCCCAAATGACCTGAAATACAGTGCCTTGCGAAAGTATTCGCCCCCCTTGAACTTTTCAACCTTTTGCCACATTTCAGGCTTCGAACATAAAGATATAAAATTTAATTTTTTTTGTGAAGAATCAACAACAAGTGGGACACAATTGTGACGTGGAATGAAATTTATTGGATGTGTCAAACTTTTTTAACAAATAAAAAACTGAAAAGTGGAGCGTGTAATATTATTGGGCCCCTTTACTTTCAGTGCAGCAAACTCACTCCAGAAGTTCAGTGAGGATCTATGAATGATCCAATGTTGTCCCAAATGACTGATGATGATAAATAGAATCCACCTGTGTGTAATCAAGTCTCTGTATAAATGCACCTGCTCTGTGATAGTCTCAGGGTTCTGTTCAAAGCGCAGAGAGCATCATGAAGACCAAGGAACACATCAGGCAGGTCCGAGATACTGTTGTGGAGAAGTTTAAAGCCGGATTTGGATGCAAAAAGATTTCCCAAGCTTTAAACATCCCAAGGAGCACTGTGCAAGCGATCACATTGAAATGGAAGGAGTATCAGACCACTGCAAATCTACCAAGACCCGGCCGTCCCTCTAAACCTTCATCTCGAACAAGGAGAAGACTGATCAGAGATGCAGCCAAGAGGCCCATGATCACTCTGGATGAACTGCAGAGATCTACAGCTGAGGTGGGAGAGTCTGTCCATAGGACAACAATCAGTCGTACACTGCACAAATCTGGCCTTTATGGAAGAGTGGCAAGAAGAAAGCCATTTCTCAAAGATATCCATAAAAAGTGTTGTTTAAAGTTTGTCACAAGCACCTGGGAGACACACCAAACATGTGGAAGAAGGTGCTCTGGTTACATGAAACCAAAATCGAACTGTTTGGCCACAATGCAAAACGATATGTTTGGCGTAAAAGCAACACAGCTCATCACCCTGAACACACCATCCCCACTGTCAAACATGGTGGTGGCAGCATCATGGTTTGGGCCTGATTTTCATCAGCAGGGACAGGGAAGATGGTCAGAATTGATGGGAAGATGGATGGGGCCAAATACAGGACCATTCTGGAAGAAAGCCTGTTTGAGTCTGCAAGAGACCTGAGACTGGGACGGAGATTTATCTTCCAACAAGACAATGATCCAAAACATAAAGACACATCTACAATGGAATGGTTCGCAGATAAACGTATCCAGGTGTTGGAATGGCCAAGTCAAAGTCCAGACCTGAATCCAATCGAGAATCTGTGGAAAGAGCTGAAGACTGCTGTTCACAAACACTCTCCATCCAACCTCACTGAGCTCGAGCTGTTTTGCAAGAAAGAATGGGCAAGAATTTCAGTGTCTCCATGTGTAAAACTGACAGAGACATACCCCAAGAGACTTGCAGCTGGAACTGCAGCAAAAGGCGGCGCTACAAAGTATTAACACAAGGGGGCCAAATAATATTGCATGCCCCACTTTTCAGTTTTTTATTTGTTAAAGTTTGACACATCCAATAAATTTCATTCCACTTCACGATTGTGTCCCACTTGTTGCTGATTCTTCACAAAAAAATTAAATTTTATATCTTTATGTTTGAAGCCTGAAATGTGGCAAAAGGTTGAAACATTCAAGGGGGCTGAATACTTTCACAAGGCACTGTATGTGTACTATATAACCAAATTGCACATAAACTTCAGGAATATTAAACCATAGCCTAAAAGCTAGACTTTCTTTACTTAAAGAAAATAGTAACATTTCAAGACTTGTTTTAAATAAATACTTCTTTAAAAAAACTGTTGTGAAAATAATACACTTTGATGTTTTACACTAAAACACAAGTTATTTCCAGCACCCGGTTTTTCACGGCAGCCATCGATTAAATTGCAGGTTGACTCTTACGACGTGAGGGTTGGGGAAGACTTGGGCGACATTATGCTGGTGAAGATTGAGAAGAAGAAATACTGGATGCAGGACGACTGGTACTGCAAGTACATCACCGTCAAAACCCCAACTGGAGAATATGTGGAATTTCCCTGCTTCCGCTGGCTGGTGGGTGACAAGGAGGTGGTGCTGCGGGATGGACGAGGTAGTTCTGAATCCATCCGTTTGTCTGAGTCACCTTTTCCCCCCCATCAGTGAGAAAGTGCAACCTCACGTTGTCCTGTCCTGTCCTTGTTGCAGCATTTCTGCCTCAGGACGATAAAACCAGCCTGGTGAAGCAGCACAGACAGAAAGAGCTGGATCAGAGGAGAAAAACCTTCAGGTATGCTTTACTCATGCAACACAGGAGGGCCGAGGCCGGTACTGAACAACTCGATGACTCTGCAGGTGGAAGGAGTGGCTGCCGGGCTTTCCCATGAGCATCGATGCCAACAGGCACAAGGATCTGCCCCGAGACATCCAGTTTGACAGCGAGAAGGGAGTGGACTTCGTACTCAACTACAGCAAGGCGTACGTATCTGCTTTAAATAAAAGAACAGGGCGGTTGTGATGTCAGCTGAGTTCCATCAGTAAAGGAAAAGTTTTTATTTAAAAGCAGATGTCGTACTTTACCGTTGATTGTAATATGTTCGGCTCAAGCAGAGACGCCAACAAAAACATACAGCACAACCTCTTCAGATTAGATGCTGACCAAGACATTATCAGTACAATTATCCATTCAGACATCTCAGCAGCTGCTCATTGGATTAGATCGTGCTGAACGAGAAAAATGTGGCCAGAATTCAGACTTTTCAGCCAAAATGGAAGTTCTGTACTCCCTGCCTTTCAACGGTAATAACACAACAGCATGCAACTGAAATGAACTTACAGGAACCCAGTAATGCTCAGTCAGGTCATCTGGACAGTTTCTTTTTGGAGTGTGAAAACTGTCCAGGTGACCTGACTGACCATTATTGGATTTTGTACCTGGATGACTGAGCATGAACTTTGATGTCTTGAGCCACTTTGGCTGTGCCTGCCTGGGAGGAGTCGACGGGGGACAGGACAGCTCCCAGAAACCATCTTATCACCAGCAAACTGGTTGGTCCACTAAAGCAGTGCACTGTTTAGTGGGGAAAACTGTTTACTTGGGACTCCTCAGACTGATGAAGCCCTCCGGATAGAGGGCGAAACGTCTTTCACAAAAAACAAAAAAACTACCCAGATGACCTGACTGACCACTATTGGATTTTGTACCTGGATGACTGAGCATGAACTTTGAAGAACTTACTGGAAGTTTTCTTGAATAAAGCTTTGATGTGGTGGCCTTGAATCATCAAGTATGAGACATCCTCTGCAACACCAACATTTAAAGCTGCACAGCTCAGATACAGTACCGGTAATATCAGGATTAACATTCCTCATAACTGATGATTAACTGAAGAACATCTCACAATCCAAGAGACTGACCATTATGGCATTAAAACCCACCCAGTTCACTTTAACAATGCTGAATGGTCAGGCACCGACATAAAAGTACTTTTCCTCAACAAGGCAGAGGTCCCATTTTTATAAAGTTTTCCACTTGGTGGTTATTCCTCTGCACAAATGTATCAATTACTTATAGTTGTACTCATGCAGATCCATTTTCCTCGGGGTTTTAAAGGATACCATGATGAAAACGGTGATTTCCACCATGTTAGTGGTTCAGCCAAGGATTCCTTTAGAAAAGGGGCCGTCTCATCAGTGTGAGGTTGTGTGTAGCAAATCTGTTGGATTAAAAAAAATCTTCTTTTAAAAAAAAAAATTCATTTGATTCATTCAAAGAAGTTCCACTCGAGGACACTAGAAGAGTTTTAACCAGTTTTACTTACAAAGGGCAGACTTTCACAACAGGTTGCAGATTTACAGAAGTTTTACATGCATGGAGTCCAGTTACGAGAACCTGCCACGGGCAGCGTGCGAGAATTATTTTTATACGCTTATCAACTCCTGGCTCACAGGTATCAGACTGGTGACCTAGGCCATCCAGCTGCACATGCAGGATTAAATCAGCACCTCTTTCAGCCCTCTCTGGGAGAGAAATGAACTCTCGGCTAACTCAAACACATGGTTCATGGGCAGTTAACATTCTCAGCCATAGTAGTTAAAAACATCCATAAACCTTGACCAAAATTCCCCTGACAGAATCGAACAGGGGTGCTTCTACTTCATGTCTCTTTAGCGTGTAATACTTTTCAGAATCATTTTTCTAAATTGAGAAATACCTGGAAGAAGAAAAAAAAGTGGTCATTGTGTGTTTATCATCAGAAATATTTGCACTGGGGCTTTCAGGTAAAGGTGCAAGCTTGCTCAGATAAATAATTAAAAATAGCAGATCACAAAATGTTTTTATCATACAAAAGCTCCAGTCGAAACTCTGAATTCTGTAGTGAAAGTAGTCACGCAATATTCAAATCTGTGCTCTGAAGGGAACGCGAAATGTCCTTGTGTATAGAAAGTGTTAGTAAATTTGCTTAAAATGCTCCAAAACTGTCACAAGTCTATTTTTCACATTTTAATTACTGCATGTAGTTGATAAGCATCTGATTCTGAAACATACTGGAAGTTTATCAGCGTTCACTTTAAAGTAAATCATGTCTTGTTTCTATGTTTAATCCAGATGAGATGATTTAAGAATATTCTTGATGATTTTCTCCAGAATAGAAAACCTGTGTGTGAATCGGTTCATGAACATGTTCCAGTCTTCCTGGAGTGACTTCGCTGACTTTGAAAAAATCTTTGTGAGAATCAAAAACACAATCTCAGGTTAATAGCATCATTTTCTCATTCTCATTTTTGTTCTCATTCTCGCTCTCATCCCTCTTCTTAATTTCACTGGCTTTCTCATCATAATATTAAAAATCACTCTGTCATTCTCGTCCTCAATCTCCATCTCTTTCTTATACTCATCCTCATTCTCATTCATCTCTGAAATTCTAACACACTTCATGTCACTTCATCTATATCTAATTTGATCTGATCTCATATATCAAATGTTTTGTGCTTTCTATGCTATGATTTAAGGTATTAATGAGATTTGTTATGACATATATGATGCAACGTGATTGTCATATCACCATAGGCTTTACAAAGTCATCACGTCTCATATCTCATAACTTGCAGCACACATAATCTTATATCTCATTTTTAAATCACAACATAAACTCATCCTCTTGTCTTCTCTCATACGTCTCATATTGTTGTTGACCTTTTTTTTTAAATTATTTTGTAAGAGTACGTGATGCAACACTGGAGAGAGGACTTCATGTTTGGGTATCAGTTTCTAAACGGCTGCAACCCCGTGTTGATCAGGAAGTGCACCAAACTCCCCGACAAGTTTCCCGTCACACATGAGATGGCCTCCGTCAGCATGGAGCGGGAGCTGACCCTGGAGCAGGAAATTGAGGTCGACACCATTTTTCTTAGTTTTTGATGCCATGATTTAATTTGAAATCATTTCCTATTTAAAAAGATGAGCGGCTGAAGGTCGGCTTGATTCTGGTGTTTTGGATCATCTGACTTATATACAGTTTGGATCTTGTGTTCCACTTTTAGGCGGGTAATATTTACATCGTAGACTATGAGATACTGGAGGGCATTAGTCCAAACTGTACCGACCCGTCCACACTCCAGTACCTGGCAGCTCCCATCTGTCTGCTATACAAGAATGCACAAAACAAGATCTTACCTATAGCTATACAGGTACAGTTCTGTTCAGCCACAGCAGTTTGATGATGTAAAACATTTCCATTTTTAAGGATTTCTTAGCTGAACAGATTTCTGCCTGTGTCCCCCCCCCAGCTTGGCCAAAATCCAGATGAGAACCCAATATTCCTTCCTACTGATGGTCAGTATGACTGGCTCCTGGCGAAGATCTGGGTCCGATCAGCTGATTTTCAGTACCACCAGACCATCACACACCTGCTCAGGACACATCTGATGACAGAGGTGTTCGGTATTGCCTTGTACAGACAGCTTCCTGCTGTTCACCCCGTATTTAAGGTAAAAATAAACTAAAAACCTGGACCACTGATTTAAAGGATTGTGAGTTTCGTCGTTTTGTTTTTCCTCTCAGCTTCTCATTCCACACATTCGTTTCACCATCGCCATCAACACCAAGGCCAGAGAGCAGCTCATCTGTGAGTGTGGACTCTTTGACAAGGTGAGTTTATGAACATTTTCAAAATTAACGGAGAAAACACAACCAACAAAAAGGAAACCAACCAACAAACAATTGAGTCTGATTAAAACAAAATACATATATGTGAGAAACGTGGGCCACTTTATCTCCAATTGAATATTTCTATGACGTCTTGATCATTTTGGCAAATATTAGAGGAATTCAGTCCTTTCGTTTGTATAAAATACCTTAATGTGTGAGATGTTTGTGGGTTTCCTCTCACAAAGTGAAGTAGAACAACTTTTACGCGAGTCGTCGGGCAGATTTGGTTCCATTTCCCGTGAGATTCAGTCCACAGGAAGTCGTCCTGATGTTTCTTTTACAAGTTACTGATATTATTTAGAATTCATTGCTCCTTAACTAATAACATATGTCCCGACCCAGTTCTAGAACGTTACGCTCAAACTGTGACGTATAAAATGTTTAGGCTGGAGTTCCGTTTGCGTCTCGGCATTTATAACCTCTCCTATTTTTAGTTAAATGTTTGATTTTGGTATAATTTCTCCACGTGTTCCTGCAACATTTATCCAAATGGATCATAATGAATAAGATAAAAAAAAAATGGCTCATTTACAAAGAGCAGTCGCTCCCCTCTGCTGCTGCTCTGGACGCTCGTCACCCACAGAGCGCATGCAACAAAGAGTAAACTCAAAGCGAGAGGGTTACCTGCTGCCCCCTCTTTCCTCTTTCGCGTTGACAAAATGTTTTAGTTTTAATCGATGAGGGTGCTCATTGATCCGGACTTCCTCATTTTGATTAAAAATAATAAACAAATAAAAATCAGCACAAATTGTTTTATTCATTTTTGTTTTGTAGGTCAAAGTGTTTTCTATAACACTGACTTAAAATGTTGCTGATCAATTTGAATTTATTATTATTTATTGATTATATTTAATTTTATTTTTCAGTATCAAATGGTCAAAAAAGTTTACAGTTTTAATAAGTTTTTTTTTCAGGCAAATTGATGCACTTTAAGTTGTTTCTGTTACAGACTAAAAAAAACAATGTTAATAAAGTTATTCTTTGTTGTAAGTTGATCTATATTCCTTTTTTTTGTTTTCTTCAATGTTAATAAGGACACAATGTTACGCAGAGGTGTATTTATAACAATTTTATAGACATTATTTACAGTCGGGGCGGAGAGTTGGGGGGGGGGGGGGGGGGGGGG